CTCGTCATTGGCTGGCCGCAGGCGCAGGTTGGCTGATTGGTCAGCCCGCCCGTCGCGCCCCTCAGGGGGGCGGGTTCCCGCCGGGACCGCGCTCGGGAAGGCGGGGAGGAGCGCTCAGAAACGCCGGAGTGTGACAAACAACGGGCAAATCGTTTTGGTTTTTTGTTTTTTTTTTAACTGCGAGGGAAGTTTCCCTCAGATCTGGGTGGCGGCTGTCCTGTGACCGGCGGAGCGCAGCGGTGCGGCGGAGGGGTGCAGCCTCTCCCTTCTCCCGAAGTTCTCGCCTTGGCAGGCGCCTCCCGCGGCTTCCCCCGGTCGGGGCTGCTTGTTGCACTCGGGTAGTTTAGCAGTAATAAATGAGCAGTTTGGTTTAGAGCCGTTCAGTGTTTGCGCGTTTCTTCGAAAGACTGAGAGCCCGGATCTCTTCGGAAGGAGCGGCGCCCGGCAAGCCGTGGTGGTGTGTCGGACCCAGCGCGCAGGAGCGGTTCCGTCCGGAACTGGGGCGGGTGTGGGGAGCGTCCCCCGCGGGAGCGTCTCGGGTTGCAGTCGGGTCCTGGACTGTTAGCGTTGAGGAGGTGGACAGGCCGAGGCAAATACCCTCTTGCCCTTCTCAAAACTTACTTGCTTCGGTAGAGACTCGCAGGGTGTTTCAAACTCAGTTATTTCAAGTGATCCCATTTATTGCCTCCGGCATAGCGCACAGCAGCACGAAGAGGGGGGCAGAAGCTGTCCTATGCAGGTGGGAGTATGCAGCCAGGGCGGAAGATAATTTAAGGAGCTTTGAAAGATTCAAGAGTTACTCCTCCTGAAGATGCAGGCTATGCTGTGTGGTTTAGTTCTGAAATTGCCTAATGGTTCTTATGATTTAGCACCCCCTTCCTCCTTAAAATGGAGAGAATCTCAATCTCCCAGCATGAATGCCAGTGGTTGTGTGACATCCGTTAACCTGAAGTATTTCAGAGAAAATTGTTCTACTCCCAAAAGAGTGAACCTTAAGTATCATCTGTAGGGGACAGCCATGGAGTTAGGATGACAAACTAGAGCCTGGCCTGTGGCGCCTGGCTGCGAGGGGGCCTCGCATTGCCTGCGTGCCACGTACTATGCAGAGAGCACGATCCACCCACGCTCAGCTGCCTTTCTGGTCCTTGTGGGTTTGGAAGGAGTTGTACAAGGGCGCTGGAATAAAAGAACATCTGTTTTAAGGGCTAAAATACTTGGAAATGGTAACTGTGTTGGAAAGAGTAAAGAACTGGGAATAGAGGGTGCAGAGAAATGGTGGAAAGGTCCTTAGTCTATCTGAAGTCACTCATTCTGCAAGAAAAACGTCCAGATTGTGCGGGGCATGCTGCGCCTGTAGTTCCCTGGTACTGGTAGTGGCAAACATCTAGGCAAAGCATTCTTAAGTGGCAGGAATACTTGCAAAACACACAGTTATTGCATGAGTATTGCAGAGTGCATGGTATATATGATAATCACACCTACGTAAGCAATAATAAACTTCCAGAGGTACTATTTCTCAGGAATTTGGTGCTAGAAAGGCGGAATCAAAGCTGTCTGGTGATACTTTGTGTCCTCCCAGTTAATTACTCTCCAACACGGGGAGAAGATGTGTATGCTCACAGTGTATCGACAAGGGCCTGTCCGAACCTCTCCCGTGTTATGCTTCAGCTTTTAAGAATTAAGATAATTTTCTGAACTTCTGGCCCATTCCTATTTCACTCTTAAATGATAATATACTACCAAACGTTAATTTTACATGGCTGTTTTTAAACCTCAACTCATCCCCAGGTGAACTCAGGTGCCCAAGTAGTGACAGCCTACATAGTAATGTGCTGGAATGAAACAGCCGACCCTCTGTCTCTTAGAAACACAGCATTCTGTCTTCCCTTCAGGAAAATACATAGCCCTCCTAAATTTCCTTGCGTCTCAAGCACAGTCTACTCAGCAACTCCATTTAAATCTCTTTTAACACCCGCTATAATGCAGCTTGCAGACAGTTCTCACTGGGCACTCACGTGCACAGGAGAGAAAGCTCAACTGCTTTACGTATTCAGTTACAAATTTTCAGCAGTATCTTGAGATTACTGGATTCAGGGTTCAAATGGTATGAAGGTACTTGTCTTTACTAAAGTTCCAGTCATCATGGATCAAAATGAGAGCTCCAAGTGTTCTTGTGTTTAGCATATGTCACTAGCACTCTACAGCAGTTTGGTTCACCTAAAATTACTAGTTAAAACTAGTTCTTTTACAACTTCAGCGCAAATTTTCTACAAGCACTTAGAATTTTCTAACTGGACCCCAAAAATACTAATGAGATGCACAGACACATAATGCAGCGTGGACAGGCAGACATGCACTGCTTGCCTTATCTTCCCAACTGTAAATCATCACTTAAATTTTGCATCTGCAGAGGAAATTTAAAGACTTCTGTTGTAATTAGGAGCTGATCTTTGCCTTCATATTTTTTGTCTTTAACAATCTCAAAGTGTAATGTTTTACCTCATTGTTTAAATCACTGTGTAAAACTCATGGAGTTTGGGTGTTCAACTTACATTTTTTTATTTCTTCAGTAACTGGTGGAAAAGTATTAAGAATGTTCTTGTCTGATTTTATGATTAGGATTTTATATTGCTTTGTTAATGAAAAAAAAGATGATGTACAAAAAATTATACGTATCCCCTGTCTTAAAGATCTTAACACATCAAGAATAAGTAGAATATCATTAAATAATATAATGAGTATGATTCTTGCAGGGTATGCACATTAATTAATTGCCATGCAGAGTGCTGCAATCACCCATTCAGTCACAGGTTAAGGTAATTAAATACTGTTCTTGCTATTGGAGAAGTTCCAGGCCTTGGTCCCCAAAGATGCAACATTGCATTCTCGCTAACTTGTGTCATTTGTAAAAAAACCTGAAGAATTAATCCAATTAAACTGTATTGAAGGAATCACAATGTATTTTCCTCTTAAATCCATTTAAACATCTGTGAAGATCAAATATGCTGAAGGAAAAGAATATTATATCAGAATGCAGTTGCCTGCCTTCTGCTTTGAAATTTAATTAAAACAATCTGGTTGAAAAATTGTGCATTTAAGTAGCTCGATGCTTGCATGTAGATATTTAAATAAAAAAGGTCAACAGAAGCCTTGCGAACCTGAGGATGATAAATATCATTACAGCTATTTTATCTAGGTCCTCTTTTCCTCTTACATGAAAACCTGGTATTCCTGAGGCCTAAACCTGTGAGCTGATGTCTACTTCAGTTTTCGGTGTCCAGCAGACTACTATGGAATGTATTTGGAGAGCAACAGAGCACAGATCCAAATGCAATAGCTAGGAAAACATATAATTAACCTGCACAGACCATGTTTTGTTTTGGTTTGTTTTTCTGACACTCTAAAAGCCTTGTTTGTGGTCGAACAGAGGCTGGTATCAGCAGGAACTGCTGCTGTTCAACATCCTTCAGGTTCAGCCTATGACAGAAGGACAGTTATGGACACAGCTACAGAAACAAATTCTGTCTAATACTATTTTTCCTGGAGTGTTCTAAGACTGAAGAGAAGCATGGTGAAACCACACGTAGCAAACAATCCCATGGGAATGGAGACTGTAAGGGCTCATCAGTATTTCTCAGACTAGTATAAAATCCTTCCAGGAGGAGGATGCCTGTGCATCGGACACCAGACGATCAGGATAAACCTATTTCAATCAATAGTCTATAAAGTAAACCATCTTTCCATTCCTATAGAGGGACTCAAAGCAGAACATTCATATTTCAACACTTAAAGTATCCAACCTGAATTTAAGGAAGTATTTTTAAGGAACAGAACATTAAACCATACTGTTGCTAAACACTAGCATTTATTTTGACAGTGACAATGACGCACAAAGTATTACCCACACAAATACATTATTTCTCCACCTACAACCATATTGTCCAAATTGTTTCTGATTAATAAGTTGCCAGTGGTGTAGGCGGCAGCTAAAACGTTACAAGTCCCCACACAGACCCTTTTCATCCTATCACAACATTTACAAAGCATCAGTGCATGTGCTTGCCGTGCTGAGCTGAAGTGTGGTAAAGGGAAATGTTGCCTTTTATTGGGCATCATCAAAATTCTGGTTTAAGATTCTTTTAATTTCTGTTTATTGGACATAATGAAGACTGAAATGTAATGGATACAGGTCATAATTTTCTCAGTTCTTTCTTCCCGGGAATCAAGTTCTGATAACATGACATTGATTATTCTTCAGCGATTCTTATCACAACTGCAAAAGATTAAATCCTTCCTTTTTTTATGAAAGCAGGGATTTCAGAATTTTTAAAAGATAATTTAAATCCTCAAATGCACAGAAATACCTGTGCATACTCATTTCCAGTACCCTTGCTTTTCTCTTGGAAATAACAGTAGACTGTAATATACCTGTCAAAATTTTCATCTGTGTCATTGCACATGGAAACAGAAATATCCCTGAGGATTCAGCGTTACTTCTGAAGTTTTGTCTCTTTAATATCTTCATAATTATTCAAATTGTTTTCTTCTAAGACCCAGAAATTCCAGAGCATTTCCAGCCTTGAGTTTATCCTGTAGAAAAAACACATATATATCTTTGTGTGTGCTTAACTCATATTTCACTCAAATGTTTTTAATGGTCCTTTCAAATGAACTGCTGCAAAGAGACTGAAGGACCTCTTCCAGTCTTCGCAGGAATCAATGTACTACACTGATTTTTCAGTGCTTTATCTCAGGTCTAAAACCAGAGGATTAAGAAGGAGGGAAAAAAACCCAAATATAAAGATAATACCTTCAGTTTATTGTCAAAATCTTCCATTGAATCAATCAATTTTCCAGGTTCCAGTTCCCCCAGTGGAAAAGGGTAATCTGTTCCCAAAATAACTTTGTCCTGGTAATAATTAAAAAAAAAAGTTATACATTTTGTAGTAATATTAAACAATATAGTTGCACGAGCTTTCAGGAATTTATAATAAACCACAGGAAATCACATGTATATATTGGAATGATTAATTACAAAAGTGAATATGAAGATCATCTTTGGGTTCCAACTTTCAGTAGGAAAAAACCAAAGCTTGAAAACAACGACTCAGGAGTTTATAGTGTGAATTTAAGTTTGAAAAAAGTACAGGGTTCTGTTAATCGTTTTTGTGGTGTCTAACAAAAGTTTGGTGTATTTTTATTCTGACACAGAAAGTTCAAAATGCAAATCCCAGGCCCCTGGGAGTAAGTGTATATTGCTCAGAGAATACAACACAAATGGTAATTTCTTACTCAGACTGATTTTCTGTACTGTGATGCTGGTTTGAACTGTAACAAAAAGGCATCTATTGTCCTACACTACTCATACTGCTTCTGCAAGTAGGTTGCCTAAAATGCAGTGATTAATCTTGGTTAAGTGTTGCCGTAATTAAATGGCCAATAAAGGATACACAGAATTCTTCTTTCCGTTTTTGACTTACTTTTGTTTTATTTTCATGCTCATTGCATGCTCTGCACTGTCGTGTGTAGTCCAAAATTAGTATGAGAATTTTTGACACATTTCATTAAGAATCTCAGGAATTCCCCACCAAACTCCGAGAAGATGCTTGGATTTGCATCCTTGAATTTGAAATTTTTGACTACACATACACACACAGACACACAAACTTAAAATTATATATATGTGAGAAGAAAATGTAATAAAAAATAAAAACAAAAAAAGCTGTAATAAAAACTAAAAAGCTGTAATAATAGCAATGTGATACTACTTAAAGCATGGTACAATGTAGAATTATCACAAACACTTAAATAAAGTATTTACTTTAATTTAACTAGTATTCAGCTTCAGATAACAAAACCAAAATCTCATTTACAAAATTTCATATATTTTTGGAAATCTGTAATTTTTATAAATGTCATTGCCTTTAACTGGATTGGATATTAGCTGTGCATTTGAAACACATATCTGAGAACATGAGTGACATGATATGATTTGTTTCTGAAAGCAAGTCAGTGAAAAAAAATTCAATAAAAATCGGTATGCATCCTTCCTGTTGTCAGAGATGAAAAGAAATAAGCAGATCCTCAATAGGTCTGCATTGTTATAGGTTCATTTTCCACACTGGAATGATATTTCCCCATTTTATCTACCTTGGAGAGTGAATACTACCAACTCTCTGGATTTTATCAAAACTCTGTTTTCCTTTAAGCTTCATATCCTGACATGAATATTTGAAAACCACAGTTTTCATTAAAAATACATGTTTTGAAATGTCTCATGAATTTGGAGTCAAGCTCATAGTTTTGGGGCACTTTTTATAATATTTGAACTCAGTTACCAATATTGAAATAGGATGAAGAGAACACAATTCAGTTATTTTATGAAATGATTCGTTCTTATTTGCCAAATGCTTTATTTTAATTTTTTTACCTCCAGTAGATGTCACCCGAGAGTCTCTGAAAGAATCTATACAAAACAAGAAATCCAAACAGGAGATACACATTCTATTGTTCTGTCCTATATTGTTGTATTATAATTTATTTTAGAAGTCTTGCCATAATATTAGAATAGGGAAATTTACACCCTCCGTATGCTAAATCAAGTTCTGAGTGTAGATTAAAAAAAATATATTTGGATGTGTGTGCTTTTAGGCAGCTACATTCTTTTATTTATAATATTCAATCTGATACCAAGCCACTTTCTTCAGATATGAAAAAAAAAATGTATGCCATGTACAAAAACCGCCCAAACCAATCAACATACTAGGTTTATATGAGAAAATGCATTTCTAAGCAAAGGAGAAGGAAACCCAGTAGTTGCCTAGCTGTTTAGTAGTTAAGGTTAAGTAAGCCAGGAAGGTTCATATAATACATTCTTGTTCACACCTCCTATATACCAAAGCAGAAAGAAATCCTACACTCCCACTGGAATAATATATATTATTTCAAATATATATTTCTTTTCCTCTAATTTAAAGTGTTTCACAGCTAATCATGTGATATATTCATTAGCAGTAAAACAAAGAGCTGTAAATTAGGAAGCAAATTTTAGAAGCAGCATTATTGCTCTGCTACTAATGATATTAAGCTATTCATTTAAACTCTTTGAGCTTCAGTTTTGTATCCATCTATATAAAGGGGATTGCAATACCTGTCTTTAGCAACCAGCCTCAGAGAAGTCCTGTGAAGTCTCTGCAAATAATACTCCTAGCGTAATATATGTATTATTATATTATTCCAAAGTATATCAACAGAGTCAGTTTTCCCTAGAAGACTTACAGTTCATTACCTTAATTAGTGCATCTCTCCTTTTAGAAAGGTAAATATGGCTAATGATTAACCTCAGTGGACCCTTCTACTCAACAGAACTTTTTTCACCATAATAGGGACCTGGATCTTAAAATGAATCTCAAAGAGCATCAAGCATGAGTTTGTCCTCTTTTATTAGTAAAAGTTGTATTTGCCTTGAATCTCACCTTCTTTCCTACTGTCAGGATGCATCTCAAAACAAGGCCAGATTGCTACAGCCAGTTCAGCTCCAACTTCTGGCCAGAGGGTGTTTTACCCTTGGGAGATGGCTCCTGGGGAATCACCACGGGGAAGTTTTTGCAGAGATATACTGAATCATTTAATCCCCTGACAGCCCAGTTCTTCACTTTTTACAGCCAGCATCATTAGGGGTTTTGTGTTTATTTATATTCACTTCATGCTACCTCATCATGAGGGGAGCAAAGGATTCAGAATTTTATAAGACTGCAAAATTGCTGTTCTCAGAAATGTGTATTTCTGCTTCCTTGAACTAGAATAGGCTCCAATTAACCTGCACCTAAAACTAAGGGATGAAGTTAAATGTACATGACTCATCACAGCTGTCACTGGATTTTAATATTCATAAGCTCAAAGCCAAAACATTACATTCTGATGCCAGGTCATGGCTGTTCCCTCAGGACCTGAAGCCATGCCTAAGCACATCTTTACACACACTGATGCCCTTCCTGCACGGCTTTTAGCAATACTCTGGAGAGCTGTCCTATTTCAAACCTGCGGCTTATAAAATTACAGTGTCATCCTCAAGACCCAATCACATTGTTTTTAGCCCAGCATTTATTCATCTTATATGTATTATTCTGCCAACACACGACTGCACTGAAAATACTGAGGTATTTGGTGTTTTTTTAAGCATTTGACTCATAGAATGGTATTATGTGAGAATATCAAATTTCAATAGAAAAAAAGGAAACTTTTTAATCTTCCTGGTTATAAAGTTGGAAAATGTGATGTGAATGTTTTTTTTCAAGGATAAGATGCATTTGCTGGGAAAAAGAGGAAGAAAATTTACTTTTTTTTTTTTTTTCCAAGTTCTGTTAAAAGTATTTAAGTTTTTGGGATCTGACTCATGACATTTCAGCACTGGGGTTCCACCTGATATCACATTGCTCGAGCTCACAATATTCAGCGGAGAATTAAACAAAATACCAACATCCTATGTAGTAACTGGTCAAATTTATTGAGTTAAGAAACTATTTTCAGAAGTCTGTTGACAAAATAAACAAGACATCAGAATGGCTATTGCTGAGTGACTTTGAGATTATCGAGCTAGAATCTATAACCTACCTCTCCTCAAACAACTAAATTTCAGTTGCAAAGAATAATCATGATTCAGGGCCAGAGTCTGTGTCTTGCTTCTTTGGAAGAAAAGTAGAGAAGTTACAGTTCAAGTATGGTGCAAAGACAGCAGCATTCCCACAACAGCCACAGCTTAGAGCAGCCTTGAGATGTAAAGCTAACTTCTTACTCTGAGGCAGAACTGCTCCATTCTATACAAGTTAAAACAGAAAAAAAATTTGTCAGTAATAAACATCCGGTTGTACTTTATGTCCTGCTTTGCTCTTGACATCTATAGCTCAGCTTAAAACCAGAACCAGTCCAAAAAAAAGAATCTGTGGGTCTCAGTCATGCTGAGTCACACAGCTTCTAATTCACCAAGGTCTTTCTAACAATGGCAAAACACGTCTCCCAACATTTTGAAATGAAAAAAAAAAAAAAAGAGAAACAAGCAAATGATCTTGTCTCCTTGGCAATAAAAAAGGAATCTGATCACCTAAACACGGCAATTTAAAATTCAAGAGTCAGACTCATCCCTGTTATATTATAACTGCGTGTAGAACAAGAATATACTTAGGATGAACATGGTCTAGATTTGGGGAGGCTCTCAGAAAAGGTGACAATTGGAGGCAAGTGCTGAACTGTTACTCTCTAAGTCTTTGGGTATCTTGTAAAATGGAAGTGCACATCACATCTGGTAAAATTTTTAAATCTATTGTAAAAACTACTTAAAGCCACTTTATTACTGTAAGCTACAGTTAGATTCAAAAGGTAACACACAGTAAAACATCCTGGACTGCTGACCATGATGTATTTAGAGGTTGGTAACAGCAATTAACAGAAATCAGTACTGGGCTGGAGCCCTAGTATTTTGTTAGTAATCTATCTGGTGCCTAAAACTTCATCCCTTACACAGAGATCTCTCCATCAGTGTTCATTGGGCCTAGCACTGCCAAAAAAACCCCAACCTAGAACATGTCTATATGTACAGGAAAAACTTGGCAAATGCCACCCAAATTAATACCCACTGATAAGAACTTTCCAATACTAACAGCTTATTAGCAGGTCTTTTGACAAGTAAACTGACCTGCGTTTTATCTTACTTGTTTCTAATGGAACTAGGCTGCACGGTAGTTTCTTTACACATCTTACGGGGTTCCTACCATAAATCTACTTTCCGTTCATGGTGGATTTAAGAAATAAGTATTCTCTCTCCTCTCCTTAGAGCCATAGTGTTATTGTATGTGTACATATCTTTATATTTAAAAAAAACTTTCTATAGTTTTTTTTTCAAGGTGTAGTTGTGCTGTCACATTGTTGAAATTTTCATGAATCTTCAAATGCAGTTTTCCTAAAAGACACGAGTACTGTAAGGCTGAAGGCAGAAGTACTGTCTCAAAGCTAGAGATTTTCTGTGCACCAAGACTGAAAACCCATGGATTTCAAAGGTTTGAGACCAGGGCTCAGAATACCATGATAAAGAAAGCAATAGTTCTGCATTATTTTTGGCTGGCCTAGGCAAGTCACTTCTGTATCAGTTCTAGTACAGATTTATTGCAGTAACCTGTTCAGACTGTTAGAGATGAAAATGGGAAATCAGCAGTATCTTTTCTGTAGAGAGAAAGAAAACATTCAGCTTAGCTGTTTTTGTGAACCTGGTTATAGAAGAGGTCCTGATGACAGCAACAGCCTCACATGTGAGAAAAATACTATGTGAGCCTAGAAATTAATGCACAGGAAACAGGAATACAGTTGTTGAGACAAGAAAGTCAATGTCAGAACTTGCACTTCTATTTTTGACATCTGGTAGGTATCTGCCTGCCAGCTGCACAAACTCCATGAGGTCCAGAGATCACAGAATTGTCTAGGTTGGAAAAGACCTTGAAGATCATCCAGTCCAACTATTGACCTAACACTGACAGTTCTCAACTGCACCAGATCCCTCAGCGCTGTGTTGACCCTCCTCTTAAACACCTCCAGGGATGGGGACTCCACCACCTCCCTGGGCAGCCCATTCCAACATGTAACTACCCATTCTGGAAAGAAATGCTTCCTAATATCCAGTCTAAACCTTCCCTGGCACAAATTGAGACCATTCCTTCTTGTCCTGTCGCTTACTACTAGGTTAAAGAGACTCATCCCCAGCTCTCTGCACCCTCCTGTCAGGGAGCTGTAGAGGGTGATGAGGTCTCCCCTCAGCCTCCTCTTCTCCAGACTAAACCCCCCCAGTTCCCTCAGCCGCTCCCCATACGACCTGTGCTCCAGACCCTGCACCAGCTCCGTTGCCCTTCTCTGGACATGCTCGAGTCATTCAATGGCCTTTTTGTAGTGAGGGGCCCAAAACTGAACACAGTCATCGAGGTGCAGCCTCACCAGCACCAAGTACAGGAGCAAGATCCCTTCCCTGTCCCTGCTGGCCACGCTATTGCTGACACAAGCCAGGCTGCCATTGGCCTTCTTGGCCACCTGGGCACACTGCTGGCTCCTGTTCAGCCAGCTGTCAATCAACACCCCCAGGTCCCTCTCTGACTGGCAGCTCTCCAGCCACTCCTCCCCAAGCCTGTAGCGCTGCTGGGGGTTGTTGTGGCCCAAGGGCAGCCCCCGGCATTTGCCCTTATGGAAACTCCCCCAGTTGGGCTCAGCCCATGGCTCCAGCCTGTCCAGGTCTCTCTGCAGAGCCTCCCTACCCTCGAGCAGATCAACACTCCCACCCAACTTGGGGTCATCTGCAAACTGACTGAGGGTGCACTCGATCCCCTCGTCTAGATCATCAATAAAGATGTTAAACAGGAGTGGCCCCAAAACCAAGTCCTGGGGGACACCACTCGTGACCGGCCACCAACTGGATTTAACTCTGTTCACCACAACTCTTTGGGCCCGGCCATCCAGCCAGTTTTTTACCCAGCGAAGGGTGTGCCCATCCAAGCCACGAGCAGCCAGTTTTGCCAGGAGAATGATGTGGGACAGAAACACAGGTCTCTCGTTGATTTGTGGTGATCTACTGGAAGTTAGCATGAGTGATGCCATCTTCAACCGCTTCCTGAGCATATACTAGTGAGAAGTTGTTTGAATGTTTTTGGATTTTTCTGTCCCATGCTGTACCCTATTTAAGCAGGTTGCTAAACTACAGAGATTTCTTCACTCTAACTATTTTAATATTTCTGCAAACCATTATGTTTAATGTACTCTCCAGGATCCTCACAAAAACTTTATTACTGACTTTTTTTTTTTGCCTATAACTTCCCGAGTGGAAACACAATTTGATTTCTTCAACTATACTGTTGAATTTGAAAATTAAGCCATTTGAAAACAAGGCTTCAAATAAAGCAGTCTTTGCTTGCAGTCCCATCCTGAACAACCTTACACAAGGAACAAGCCTCACTGAACTAAGGTTCACAGTGCCTGAGTTCCTGGATTAAAACCACCATTTCAATAACTCCATATAGTAAAAACATTAGCAACGTGGCAGAAGCCCATCAGGTTCTGATTTGACTGGATGAATATGCTGTCTTCTTCCTACTTTTTTCTTCTCTTCCCCTTTTGCTATTTCATAAAGAATTAAATAAAGAATGACTTGCCTGCTTCTGGAAGCATTAAAACTCACCTCTCCTATTACACTTGTTAGCAGCCTTAGTGCACCACGATCATGGACAAGAGAGTCTGTGTAAAATGAACCAAGGTATTTTCTTGGATCCACTTTATTATCCACGGCACACAAATCAGGGCGCATGTTGAATCCATGGGAGATTCGCCCCACTGTGTACGGAAAAGCTCCACCTGCAAGAAAAAAACTTTTAGTAACAGAAGCTGAAAATATGAAGGAGGAAAAAAAGCCACATTATCAACAGATATCTGCAAGTTTTACTGTCAGCTATTTGACAGAAACTGCTCTGCACCAGCAATTTTTTATTCCTTCCCCTTCATTAGCTTCTTTCACCACTATTTTCCCCAGTTCTTACTACTGTGATGCCCAAATCCCTCTTGCTGCTTCCTTATCCCTTTCCCCAAACCATCTCCTGTCTCCCCTTCCTCCTCATTTCCCTTAAAGGCTATTGTAACAGTTCAAACGCTGGCTGAAACAGGCTAGAGAGTGTTCATACAAGCAGACGATCTGATAGATTATCTTCTTTAGGGTAACAGTACTCAGCTGGTGGCAGGCTTAAAGTGGTGGCCCTATTAGCTAGCATACCAGAAAATAAAATCGTACCATGCTCAACTAAAGAGTTTCACATGGTGTATTACTTACCTCCATGTGCAAAGCAAACTTTCAGCTTAGGAAATTTTTCAAAAATTCCTCCCATAATCATGGAGCAAATGGCTATGGTTGTTTCTGCAGGCATGCCTAAGAACAAAAATGAAATCCTATTGTATGACAGTTTTTTATTTTCCAATTTGAATTTTAAATGTTATCTTCATTTTCTTCAATTAGCCTTGAGCCTACTGAAACAATAATAGTTACAGAGCAGCTGCCAAAGGTTCCACATTATTTCAATTAGAGGAACACAGAACTGAACATTAATTAACTGAAATGAGGACACAGAACTAGAAACTGAGATCTTCTGAATTCTAAGCCTGGTTTTTATCCTACACCACTAGGACAGCTGACAGGCAGGTTGGGTATGTCCTGAGCTGCACAGTACAGGCCTGATTCCAGAGTTACCCTAGCTCAAAGACAAGTCTGGGATGTGCCAGGTTCTCTTCTCACCTATGCTTCTGGGGTTTTTTTGTGTGGAAAGCGGGGCAGACATGTTGATGGATATTCCAACACAGATTTGGGGCTTAGTTATAACATCGTGCCAGTTCGAACAGTTTAGTAATAACCTGTCTCTCTCTTTGCCACTGGGTAACTTGGATGCCCAGTGTTAGGAACATAACAGCAATTTAGGTTCCTATACCAAGCCTCAGTTTCTGAGCACACCTAACAAACATAGAATATCATGCCATTCAGGTGCCTAAATTCAGACATCCAGCTTGAAATTGCGAACTGATTTCCCTTCATCTATGGAGAAAACAGTATCTATCCAGCTCAAAAGGTTGTCCTTCATTAACGTTTTACCATACACTCATATGCAAAGCCTTATTAGGCTTAGTAGGAAAATCTTTTAATTATCCTTTGTTAAGTAAATGCAATAATTTTAGTCTCTTTTAAAATCTGTGTTGTTGAGCTGGCTCTGATTAGGCTTAATTGATATTGCTTTAAGATAATGCACTGGTGACTGGGACACTAAGATTTTCCAGGGTATATTGCAGAATGTATATTTTATGTATGTTGTGTATGTTTTTTAGATCATCTCTATTGGAGGCAGTGCAAAACCATGCAAAACAAAACAATGTAAAACAGAGTAAGTGAGGGTGGAATGAGGTCTGAACATCTTTAGGAAGCACTATAGCCTACCTCCTGTTACTCAATGTTGTTCTGATTTACCTAGCAGATAGGGAAATAAACCGAAACTAGATAATTCACTACGTCTACAGGGAGCTTTCAAAGCACATGTTGTTTCAACTATAGTTGATGTGAACTTAGACTAATTTCCTCTCTGATCAACCTATTTCTAGGAAATAATCCAAGAAATTCTAGGAAGTAATGTTTGGTTTTGCCGACTCCTTCATTTACTTGCATTATTTTTGAGAAGCTCTATTTCAGAGACAATTCACTTTTCCCTAGACATCTGCTCTTTGTATTTAGGACAAAAGAGAATAATAGATTCTGTTGCTAGTCTGAATAATTTTAGGTATTTAAAAGTTAAACAAACGAAACAAGCTTAAAAACAAATGACTGCTGAATTTATACAACAGATTTAACTGTAGTACTTCATAAAAAAAAAAAAAAGATTGATAGAAAAATCATGTAGTTTTTCTCTGTACTAGTACCTTTGCAACAATCTTCTGGGCAAAGTCCAGTGACAGTTCATAAATCTGGATTAAGCAAAGTAAATATACACTCACCTATTAGCCAGGGAAACCAGTATTTGGACATCCTTCCATCTATCTGCATGTCCCAGGGATGCACAAAGAGACAGCAATTCAATTGTTCAGCAGCCTGCAGCAAAAATAAAAAAATCTAAATCTTGACTAATCTTACCAAAATGCATCTCGGTTCTTAGCCATGAAAGATTACCTGCAAAATTGTACTAATAATGAAAAAAGGTCCAGAAGTAAGAACAATAAGCAACAAGTTGGTTATATTTATGCCTTCGGGCCATATCCTGAAGTCCTCATTCAGTTTCAAAGTTCTTTTTGAGACTACAGGATTGGAAACACTGACGATAACATCTTTTTAGTAAGCCAAGTGTTCCTCAGATTCATGTGGTACAAACCTGCTTTTTTAGCTGTGTTTGTCAGCCATCCTGCAGAATAAAACTTGGTTCAAACTAGAATGCTTTTGGTTTCATTATACATATGAGGATGAATTCTTGTAATGTTTTATAGAACCATTTTAGGATGGTTTTGCAGAATTGTTCCAGCTGCATTAAGGAATTTTCATTGCTGTTGCATTACATTTGTCCTCTTTGGCCTTCTGCTGGTCTTAAAATATAAATTAAAACTATTCCTAATCCCCCCTAAGAGTTTGAAATCTAGCTGTATTCTGATCAATAATCCACCTCCACTCAAGTATATTAATTTTTCTAAAACTACTGATATCTTTGGAAAGGGAAACAAGAACAATACAGGATGCTCATTCTGACTGTGTAATTTAATTATGTGCTTAAATTTAAATATATAGTCAAGTCATTCATATGCTTAACCAGAATTTAACAGCCTCATTTTGTCAGATGTATTTCTGGACCTCATCTTGTTGCTAAGGAGATTATCACACATTTGAAAAATTTGGGTTTATTTACCCATACATGCATAAATAAAGCTGCAACTTTTGGATTGTAGGGAGTAATCACCATCTACATTTGTAAACTAAAAATAGCAATTCAATCACTGGCTTGCTAGATTGATAAAGTTCATTATCAAATATGGCTTAATTTCACAATCTTTATTATCCAGGGATGTTTCTAGAAGTGATAGACATTACTTCCTACACATAAACTGAAGAATGTACAGTATAAGAGAGAGAGACCAGTACAACAGAGGGATCTCAGTATGAGAGAGATGTCGACTTACTGGAGAGAGTCCAAAGATGATGAAGGGACTGGAGCATCTCTCAAATAAGGCAACACTATGAGAGCTGGGACTGTTTTGCCCCAAGAAATGAAGGTTCAGCAGGGATCTCATCAATGTATATAAAGACCTGAAGGGAGGGTGTAAAGAAGATGGAGCCAGGCTCCTTTTTGTGGTGCCCTGTGAGACAACCAGAGGCAATGGGCACAAACTGAAACACAGGAAGTTCCCTCTGAACACCAGGAAACACTTCAACTATGTTTCAGAATGTTTTATATTGTATTATTGTCATTATATCTTACAATGAATTATTGTGTATAATTAAAGCTGAATCTCTCTGATCAGTAAGCAGATTAAAAGGCTCAATTGTTTTAATGTATCTATAAATTTAGTTGACGACTATGTCCCAAGATATTTTTTAGACAGAACTCCATATCAGAGAATTCCCCAAAATAAGGAAAGAAACATTTACTCACAGCATAAATATCATACAATTCTGGTGCATTCAGGTCCCACTCATTGACATGAGATCCTATTTGTACTCCTGGAAATCCAAGTTCATTCACACAGCGATGCATTTCCTTCACAGCCAGGTCTGGAGCTTGCAAAGGTAACGTACCCAAGCCGATAAACCTCTTGGGGTACTTTTTTACTGTAGCAGCTAAGTCATTATTTAATATCTGGGCTAGATCTAAAGTATCCTGAGGTTTGGCCTGGTAAGATATTAAGCAGAATAGTATATTAAAATATAGTTCTCAAATGTTATCACCTTTGGAGGATATTGGATAAATGTCACTGCAAACAATTCAGAGAGACGGTTTGAATCTAAAATTTATTTTACAGTTCTGAATAACTGGAAACCAGTAGGGCTAAATTCTGCCTTGCTTTAAAACCTCTGGGTGAAGTTCTGCCTCTTGAATATTTTATGAACTGCAGTTGCCTTTACTGCTCAGGATGAGTGTAATAAAGCCTAGGTTGTTGATGCACTGAAGTATCTGGTCTTTTGTGTAAACCAGTCCCCTGGTTTTGTTTATCCCAATGTAAAAACCTAGGCATGTAATTTTTAAACATAGCAATGAATATTTAGTCTCTTATTACTGGAGTTGAAAATATAAAAATAAGAAATGTGAGATGCTTGACCATAAGAATTCTATGGAGAAAACTTGAGCAAACCTCTCTAACATTTAGAAGGAGGTAACAGTCATAATTCTAATAACAGAACTGCAATATCCATACAATCAGATTTTCCCCTAACACATAGTTAATGAAAAATATTTCCATAAATATAGAATAAAGTGTTAAAGATATGTCACCCAACAAGAAATTCTGGAGATCAGTGGTATTTATATGTTGGCTTAACACCATGATTTTTAATGTAGCATATCTGTTTCCATGTAACAACTCAACTTGTACACACAGCTAAATAGTCAAATTGAGAGTGTATTTAGAACAGCTTTTTGCTATTACTTATCCTCTTAGACTTTTTATTTCTTTTATGCATTCAAGATCACCAGGCAGGGAACATGTTAATTTAAATTTGATACTGAATTTTAAGATTCAAAGCATTCGAGTCCCATGCCACATTTAAAGAATAGTGGGACAAGACCACAAAAATATCTTTTACTTCTTTTAATGAGAAAATATTGACTGATGTTTAGCTTTCATGGAATGTGTACATATATGCCTACCTACTAACCATGAATACATGCTGTGTAAATTCTCTCTGTTCCCAGCTACCCCTGCAAGGTCCCCAGAAGAAATTCTGTTGTGTCTCATTCTTTCTTACTAAGTGTACTCCAGAGTAGAGCTTTGCCAGGACACCCTCCTGGCTATTCTCATACCTGGACTATTTTTTTTCTTTTTTTTTTTTTTTTTTTTTTCCAGCGTAACAATTCCCCATTTACTTCAGTGCTCTAGTGACTACTTCAATCACCTAATTTATAGGAGGAGACATTTATTTTTTTAAGATTCTGTAACATATGAGTTATAAAATATGCCAGTAGGAACCTACCCAGTAGCTGAACATTACAGGGACTGTGGAAAGAACTTGGACTGTGACCCCTAAGTAAGAAAAAGCAGTTATTAATGTTTCCTTTTTTTTTTGGTAAAATGTTAAAAATAAAAAAGCACTTTGGTTTGAAAGGTAGAAGGTAAAAGTGTTAACGGTAAGAAAGACTGATTTAACAGTAACAGGCATAGAATTTTTTTCTTCTAATTAAGGATCATGGTAACATATCTTGTAGTGTATGAGTTTATTAGGATTGGAATATTTTTGCTAAGTAGAAAGAAAACTAACACTTTTCATACTCATACTAGATTATTTGTGAACCTAAGTATTTTGATTTTAAAAGTATTGGGTATGCACATGTACAATTAATTAAAATACCCATTTAATGTTACTCTCATATAAATTAATGTCATGTTAAACCAATGGAATACAGTAACTTAAGTTTACTTTTGTGTCATGTTTATCATATATATTTTGTAAAGAAAGATGTAAATTAGCTCAAAGGTAAACAACGTTATGTTAACATGGTTGTTAAACAATGTTTTCCTCAGTGTTCCCCAAAGCTATATTGTGTTAGGTTTCACTCATCCCGTGGCTGAACTACTGAGTTTGTAAGTATAAGAAAATCTGTTTTTAGAAATAACTTTGACAGTAGCAATAAAGAGAATTAAGTCCATGTTGTTTGGTTTCTGTTCAAACACAAATCTCTACCACAACTTTGTACGTGACAGGTTACAGGAATGAACACAACAAACACAGGGGATTAACAACAGAAGAAACAATAAACAATAATTAGGATTTCACTAAATAGTTACACGCAAAACTATTTTTAAAAAAAATTTAGATCTGGTTGTAATATTTATGCACATAATTTGTCAGGTTTTAAAAAAATGTAACTCGGTTGTTAGTAATAAAACTATTAATGCAAAAATAGCAGAAAAAACCCTAGGAGAATTTCTTCTAAAATGAAGACCCTTCCAAAGCACTTGAATGTTTAACAAAATTATTTATCCTCCTTCTCAGTATTTTAAATAGGAAACAGGACGGGAACCTGACTCAGGCATCTCTCTTACAAGATCTGATTAATAATATGTACATCAGCAATGGTATGAGGTTAAGGGTTACATCTACAAAACTATGTATATACCAAAGTACAGCCTAAATTGTATTATCCACCAATATGTTACTGGTCTCCTGATTAGTAGGTTTGAGAACATTCACCATGTTTTCCACAATAAGCATTGTATCTGGTTTCTATCCATTTTTACTCTTCTGAGCAAATTTAACATAAACCTTAAAGGCAGCTGAACATTCCTAGACACTAACTTTAGGAAGAAGGAGAATCAGCACAGAAAAACCTCTATACCCTCTTCAGAGGGTTTTACAGAGCAGAAAATAATAAGGCAGGCAGTTAGAATTAACTGAAAGATTTTCTTCAACAAAACAGTGAAGATTTGCATCACAGAACTGTGATGTTAATTATCTTTACAGCTTCTTTTATTGAATTAGCTTGATAGATTGTTTTACTGAGTGGATCAAAACACAGGTTTGTATATCAAATATACCTAGGACATATGAGAACTAATTTAGTCTCATATTGGCTACCATTTCTTATTACTAGCAAGATCTCTTGGGCATTGCACAAACATAGACTTTTAACCACCAAACTGTAAGTTATCTCTCTGAGTTAATAATGCCTTACAGTGACTGGTAGTTTTGTTCAGTTGGGAGATTCCTTGCATCTTTGTTTCAAAATTATGCCATATTTAGAGGTTAAATTTTTGGGTATAATCTATTGCAGCCTGTGTTACAGAAAAAGGTCTCTGAACCAAGTAGCTACAGCTTTGTAAACTGAGAAAGAGTAAATGTAGCCCATAGTCTTTATCATTAGGTGAACAGTAGGAATGAAAAACACTCAAACCCTTTTTTTTTTTACACTTAATTGGGTGATGCCTGTATCTCTGGACTGTTGTAATAAAAGGGGACATTTTTATGGCACAAGTCACCAGATGGTGCTGTAACACACAATTTCAGATTTTTTTTTTTTAACCAAGTGAGCAATGTTTAGTTTGTGGAGAAATACTGTGGTGTTGAATTTATGATACATTTTCTGGAGAGCCGTTGCAAAAATTTGAAAAAAAATTGCTCCTGTGTTTTTTCTTTGTCTATAGCAAACAGATGGGGCAGAATTGTTTTGTAAAAATTTCCCATTGGTGTTGAGGGAAATATCTGAAAGGGGAAGATGCCCAAAGGCTATTTATGATCCACACTGTGGTTGAACGATGTGGTAAACCCCAAAATCCCTGAGCTAACTCTGGGACTGATTCCAGTCTAGTCAAGGCATCAGAGAGGTTGCAAAGATGTTCAAGTATTCCCATTAAATGTCTGATGGTTGGAGTCTGAAATACTGCTTCTCCAGAGTCAAAATGATGTAGCTAAAAATGATCTAAATTGTGTTTACATAAATTGCATGCCAGCCCTTGAGTTCCCAAATTGACCTATGTTATGTGTTGCATAAGGAGAATGACCCAAAGTATCTCCTAACATGCTATCCTGTGAGAGAAGAAAACAAAAACCATAAAGATGCTACTTCATGATTTAGAGGACTTTCAGATGCACTAACAGATAGGTTGCTGTTATTCTAAATGAGCCACAATGATTTTAATTCCTTTATGGAGGTACCTGATAGGTCCATCTCTCTAATCCGTACTTCTGGATCCCAGCAGTTCTCTTGAATAACTCTAAAAACCTTTCCATCCTTCATCATCTTTGCCTGTCCCTGTGAAATGACATTTTTATATATTATAAATGTGACAAAGTAGTACATGCTAATTTATAGTAACTTGAGTATATTGTGCTCCCCACAGAAATTCGGTGACAGAATTTTTTTTTTAAGTAGGTATTTTTAACCAAAGACAATTTAAAAATAGTCACAAATAAAATAGTCATTTATAGTTCAGATTTAATTCTTCATAGTTAAAAAATGCCTTCTTTTGCAATGTATATCATTCTGTATTTGTTTGGGAAAGATATCAGGTATCTTAATCCAAGTTTATCCTCAAACCAAATTTTGACCTCAAAACAATGCTCTAATTAAATATGTGCTAAATTTTCCCCTTGGGTATGTGTGTGTTCTTTTAAAGTCAATAGCATCCCAATGATTTCAGTAACTACAGAAATAATTGTGCAACTCTGTTAATTTCAGTCTAGTTGTTTCTTATCACCAGTGATACTGAGACAAAAGGAGACCTATTATGTTGTCTACAGATACATTTTCTCCATGGGGAAAAAAAAATATTGAAGACTTTGAATTGGGGGAAAAAATACCCCAAACAAAACATAAACACAGTATAAAACCATTATCTGAATTAGTGTAATACCTTCCCCCTATGCCACCAATTGCCAGACTTACAAAGTTCAAAATATTATCAAGGTAATGATATTTAATACTGTTCCTTTAACTATGAACATGGAAACTTCCTTTTTAAACTTAATTTTTGTTTCATTTGAGAATTATCCAAAGAGTTGACTAGGCTCAGTGTCATCACATTAAGCAAAGTAAATTATCTGTTACAGTTGTAGGTATGCACATGTTTCTATGGACTTGTAAAGACAGACAAAACAGTCTTTCTGTTGGCTTACGCTTGCACAGATTGATGAGATACAATCCACCAATACTTGTAAGGCCTGAATATTTCTTGGTTGCTTGAAGCTACTATAGGGATAAATGGAAATGGATGAAAGTCAGAAGACCCACATGAGCCTGTGTATTTGGGATGGGTAAGCGCAGCCATGCAGCAGATGTACTGGTCAGAGAACACACTGCATCTGCAGTTGAAAATTGAAAACCACATGAGGAAACACAGCAGCTATTCCTTCACTTTCACAGTAAACAGAAGCTAAGCGCAGGGCAGTCTTATGTCCCCTCTGGAAAGGGAATTCTCTTGTTTTCAAATGCCCCTTTATTTTTCCTTGCAAAACTGGTCTATTTAGGAACCTGTCTATTTTTCTAAATAAAAATTCCTGTTAAATTAGAATAGGCACTGTTAGTATGCTAAAACAGAAATAACTAATAAAATTTCACTACTTCTCACAGAGTTGGGTTTCTGTCTCCTGCTTCTGAGAACTCAGGCTGTTCTTAACCTTGAATTTGTTATTAACTTCATACATCATTCACAAATATATTGCCCTAATGAATATTTTAAAGCTCTTTTCAACAAATCTAACTCTGCTGCCTTGGCAAACTGTCAAGTTACTTGTTAGCTGTATCACAGGTTGTGAAAATTACTTGAAATATTACAGTCAGTAATGACAACTACATAGTCCTGATCCTCCAGTAAAATTGATTTTCCAACCTGACAGAAAGGTTTACTCTAGCCATACACTCTAATACATTAAAAAAAGATCAGCACATTGCTGCAGATTGCCTAATAAACAGAAAAATATTTGGGGTGTGAGTAGAAAGAAGACAGAATAGAACTGAGCATTGCATCACAGACTAAATACATCACGTGAAGTTTACTGGATTCCACTGGGAGTATTTCTGTGAACACAGGTGACTTAATTCTCTCCTCAAACCCAGCTCAGGCATAGCAGCTGACCTGCTCATATATATTTTCTTCTGCTAACACTGAAAACAATATTGGATAGATTGTACTTTTATTAGCAATTTGACAGTGCTCATACTTAAATGCTGAGACAAACTTGCATCAGGGTTTGCAATGTAAGAAAGGTTTCTAATAAGCCACGTACTGTTCGCATTGAAGAATTAGTTGAACAGTTTGCTATTTTCATTTGCATTTACTGATTCTTTTTGAATATGCTACAGGTCAAGGCTGAGCTCACAGCACTGTATGGAGGCAACAACAAACTTGATTATGCAGGAAAGCAAAATATGATCATCTGAATAGATTTGTGCTTGTCTGTGTAAGGATAGAAAGATCTGGTCCAGCAACACTGTGACTGGCAAGTGAGTCATATTGCTATAGTCTCTAGTCACTGCCACTAATCTGCACCTGGTATTTTTAAAATGAGAAATTACTCAGACACCTCAACTGGGAAACAATTCTCAGAGTTTTTTGCAGTATAAGAACAAAACGTAGATCAGGAAAAAAAAAATCAAGCTCTAAAGCTGGATGCAGTGCTGAAAATACCATAAAATATGAGATTTTTATTTTCAAGGTGAACACAATTTCCTAAGGGCACAGGTGAAGATTCTATTCTATTCTATTCTATTCTATTCTATTCTATTCTATTCTATTCTATTCTATTCTATTCTATTCTATTCTATTCTATTCTATTCTATTCTATTCTATTCTATCCTATCCTATCCTATCCTATCCTATCCTATCATCTGATATTTAAGGCTTTAATTAATTTATGTGGAAATAAAAAGAGATTTAAGTCCAGCAGGCTGATTTGGTTCAGCAAGCTGTATTTACAATTATTCCTTAACTACTCAGTCACATACCAAATTATATTTCTTTAAAAATGCATGCAATTATTTTCTTTCAGTTTGACCCTGATGTTTTTTCATGGAGTGATATGAAATGCTTTTGCTTTTTTAAATTTTAAGAGTTAACTTCCCCAGCTATATTTTATCTGTATTTTATTTTGCCATGCACTTTTTTCATGCAACATTTTCAGACAGAAGTAGGCTAGACAGAATTCTCTGCAGAGTGCATAAGGCTATTATTGACTTGCCACAAAGTTCCTTTGCAAACTATTTTTAGAAAGGAATTGTAGCATCAGACCTGTAACAAACAGCTAAGCTGCTAAAAATATCTCCAACAATTCTCTCCTTCCTGCACCTACCACATATCTCAGAAGCTGTGCCATCCACACTGGTTCTGCAGGTGGCTTGTTCTCCCCTCCTATGCCTTCTTAGACTCAGATCTGAAATTTCAGCATATTTGCTCCTCATGCTCAGTCCCAACCTTCATATTCTCATCCTTTTTCATAAACGGTTGTTAGGCATTTGACAACACAGCCTTGCATGTTATAGAATGACAACAGTATGTATGTCATTAGGTTGCAATGGACAGTGTTGTACCCATTTTATCAACTTTTTTCAGTTAATAGAAGCATATATACAATCACAAAGAAGTATGATTTTGCAAAGTGACAAGGGGATGAGGGAATGTCTAGTTCCACTGAAATTAACAGGCATTATATATTTAAATACTTTGGTTACCTGGAAGATGCAAGTCTTACTTCTCTAAAGACAATAAAAGTTGAATTTCTACAGAGAATGAATGAATTAGCCATCATAAAAAGAACCAATGAAGAAGATTGGGTACTATTTTCTTTATAAAGTTACCAACCTGAAAATGCTAAGTACTAAATCTTTCTATCATTTACCCCTCTAGTTTTCAGCATAGAATTCCTATGTTGAGACAATGTCTGAATTTCAGAAGATGGAGACAGATTAACTCTTGTAAAACACTGTGCATACAGCCTGCCATTACAGAACATAGCTGGGTTTAGCCAGTTATTTGCACTGTTCACATGCTTTAGGTGGGTCATGTGCTGACACTCTTTGTTCAGCTACTCATACTTTTAATTTTGCATCTTTTGTCTTGCAGCTTACTATATTCACAATGTTCTTTCTGCTCTTATCTACCCAACCTCTGTTGTCTTTACATTTTTTCCTGAATTATTGGGCTAATACAGTTTCTTTTGGTTTTGCTTCTCGTACAGATGACTGCATTTAACTAAAAAAAAATATCTAAATGTAATCTGCTTTAGGTTGGCCTATCTTATTGAAATGAATTCCTTAGAGCTATCCGTTCAAAGTCTTAAAATGAGATGATGATGATGAAAAACAAATACTGCTTCATATTTGTCATGAATCTGAGTTTCATCTCTCAAGCAAAAAGTTCTACTGAGGTATATTAGGACTTGGAGTGATATTACTTCATAGAAGATAGACCTCTAGAGAAATCTGTATCAAAGACATAGCCAATCTTATTGCCACTTTGCTTTTTAATAGATTTACTGTGGGTTTGTATTCCTGATAACGACACAAGATTAGCTTAGGACACCAAACAGCCCAAACCTTGCAGTGATGATCCAGCTGTACCCATCCACCATATCCGTATCTCTGCGAAAGAAACAAGAAAAAGCCAGCGATAGTTACTCCTCTGCAAAATAATAATAATCTCCATTCTTACTATCCAGCAGTACCTCATTCAGGAGAAACACATATATGCTCAGCTTTGAGCATAAGAGTTGCCCCATTAACTTCAGCAGAAGTGCAGAAGTTTACTGGACTGGACTAATAGTGTTTGTAGATCTGAACTTTTAGCTCCCAGTTCAGCAACATTTTTAAGTCCTACAATTGATTTCAAAGTACTTGAAGTTGCTTACTATATTGAGGTTCTAACTGATTTTGACACAGATTTTAACATAGAAAAAATATATCAAGCAGTTGGCAATATGAAATTTGGGCTGACAATTTTCCAAACTGTGATCAGTTAATCATTAGCACAAAGATGTATTGATTCCACTTTTCAGCTTTCATGATTCAGCAGCAGGGCTGAAGGTCAGTCTCTTGTTTATTAATATTTAAACAGCCAAGGGAAGCTAAAAAGGAGAAGCTTAGAAGCTCATTGATTCTTCCAGAGAGATTCAAAATTGTTTATGCAAAAACCCCAAAACCCACAAAAGATGCTGATTTCCTTTTACTTTCATAAATTATCAGATTAGAAATAAATGAAATCTTAAAATATCATAATAGACTGAAAACAGTGCTCAGAATTCCCATTTTGCTGTAAACAAACATTTCAAAGGAAACTGAGCAAGAGCAGGCATTTCTTTCACTGAAGTATAAACAATCTGAATACACTCCTGAATTTCCTGTGGTAAGAAATCATTACTTAATGACACTGTGAACTTTCCTAATGTAGGCATGCAGAGCCAAGCCTCCTGACTTCAGCCAATCAGAGATGCTAATGACAGAGGTAGCTATGTATATTCTATTCACATTTATAAATTTCTAGTTTTATATATATGAATATTTAAATTTAGGAAAAATTTGCAAATGACAGCTAATGAGAACTTTTAAGTTTTCACTAGTTCCATGCTAACTGCAGTTGTAAGCTGTGCAGAAAATGAATACCTGAAGGGTACTTCAATAGAGAAGCTCACTGTTTCTGAACTTAGTTTCTTCTTTCTTCCCCTCAGTTACTATTTGGAGGTATTGACAGTGCTTTCTATGAATGTTTAGGACATTAATTTCTATGAATTTTTATACTTTTTATGGGTTCCTAAGCTCTTAAGTATCTTGACAAGAGAATTTTCTAGGTTCAAGGTTCAGTATTTATTAGACCAGAAAAAAGAAAACAAAGTTTAGCACTATGTGTGCATGTTGGGATTGCCTCATCGGTTTTCCATGCAGGAGATGCAGAGAACTATGTTAATGGCTTGAATTTTCAGAGGACTCTAGGGAATTCTGAGACTTGTTTTTTATTCTGGGCCCATTAACAAACCATTGAATCACTCAATCTTAAGAACAGAGGAAACAAAAACTAGCAGGTGGAAATCAACTTTTAAAAAATTGGTATTTACCTCTTTATCAGTGTTTAAATAAATGCAACACTGGCCTACAGGGTCTAACAGTAGTAAATTCAGACTTGTTGTATGGCTGTGAACATCAAAAGATTCTTAGGGTGATTTTTATCTCAGTGAATTTATTGCCCTTTTAAAGTATATACAGACAAAAAAAAAATCTTTGAAAATCATGTAAAATCAGAATGAAGGGATTTTATAGGCGTTTTTATAGGGATGTTGCACAAATAAGGACAAAACTATCTGAAACAAGCAAGAGTAATCTGTCTTTGTAGCCTGAATATTTAAACTATCCATTTAAAACAGACATAATTGTTCTAAAAAATATGTCGTCTCATCTACATTATTGAGTGTGTATGTATTTCTCATTGAGGAGCTCTTATTACAAACAGAAGTTCAAATAGATATTTAAAAAGACCTTCCTAGGTAAATGAGGAAACAAACATTCTTCTCCAGGAGGTTTTGTGTGTAATGGTGCTATTTTTCAGTACTAATGAAGAAATAATCCTATGTATGTTCTTAATGCCAGGTTTTCTCATGACTTTTTCCTAATATGCTGTTTACATTTTCCGGCTGCTCTCTGACTAATATTGAACTGATACTTGACTCTCTTGTTTAAAAACACAGAGCTAATACATATGAAACACTTAACTGAGAACTTGCCATCATCAACCTCAAAATAATTAAGTGAAAGAAATGTACAGTGTAAACCAGAGTTTCAGTTAGTGTGTCAGATGCCCAAGAGCATGGCTGAAATAATGGTATTCTTTTGTTGTCAAGCACAGGCACAATGAAATCAAATGGTTCCATACTACTGTCAGACACAGGGATTGTTCATTCAAACTACAACCAACACAGAATTACAGTAAGGAAAGAAACAATACAGGTCTTCTCTTTTCTTCTCTGATTTTGTATCATGAATGGAAACATTAAAGAGTTATAAAAAATAGCTATCCTGGAAATCCAAAACCAATTTTTATTTGCAAATAATTTAATATATATGTGTGTATAAACTATATATAAATATAATTGCATGTGATCATTTTCAGTACGCTTTGTGGCATTGGAGATGTGATCCCTTATAAATCAAAAAGTGATCAGACATCTCTATATTGAATTGTGATTTTAATTATTTAGGCAATAAATCTAAAACCTAATTCAGAATGAGGTGACTACCTGGATTTTGATAATCTGAAATAAGAAAAGGATTAGATTTATTACATGAAAACCTAAATGACACTTTCTATTCTCAAATACTTTTTAGAAGAATTACAAGTATAAATTTGTCATTGAAAAATAATAATAATACCATGCAAAGATTCGAAGTTGACTTATAGTTTCAGTGTTCTGACAGCTGAGATTCTGGGTTTTTATTACAATATACTACTTCTTTTCAGTAACTGAAAAAATAACAGATATTAGTAAAATCATCATCATCATCATCATCATCAATTAACTGTATTTCGAGTGACCACACTCCTGTTGAAGTTAATGATTTTCATGCCTGTGGGCATATAATGTGAATTACTTTTCTCTTAAGTAACATTAATCTTGTCTAATATTTGCTTATTTCTCTTATTTAAAACAACAGTGAATACCATTTGGGAACCTGACTGCTCTGGTTTTATCAAGACAGTGGAATTTACACCTCATCATCTGACAATTTTAGGTCTCACAAAAAACTAAGCAAAAATATAACTGCTTCAGACTTAAATGAGTGGGGAACAGAGCCCAGTTTTCCATCCCTTTCTTACTGGGACTCTTGATTTGCAAAATAATGCAATACAAGTATCATATATATGAAAAAAAACCCCAAATTAGACAAAACCTAGAGATATTTATAACAGAACCCTTCATTCATTGTTCTTTCAAACATTACATTGGTAGAAATGGTTGCTGATAACAAGGCACTGAATAGCTAAACTCTTATTACCTTTTTTAGGTCAGGCCATTCCTTAGGTAGAATGTGGCTATGAATATCAATTTTCATTTTTGAAGTATCACAGAAGAGATACTCCTTCAATGAAAGTGTTTTCTGTGTAATTGCTACTGTCCTTCCTGTCCCTGGTTCAGCAGGTTATTAACTTTGGCTGTTGTTCAGATCCACCTGCTGCCTTATCAGGAGAGCTTGGTACAGTGGCCAACCAGGCAGCCCAAATCCCAGAGGAGTGGCTCTCTAAAAAACCAAAGGCTTGTAGCAGAAAGTCCCTGTTAATGCATAAACTACAGCTGACTGAGGGCAAAGGGAAAATGTATGCTTATATTGGCACTATGAAGGGATTTATTTTACACAGAATCTAAAATGAAAGCTTGTTTACAGTAGAAAATAATTCAATAAAATTGAATTAGAATGAATGTATTAAACATGATGACTTGAATTTCCTCCTTTCTCTGTCTTAGACTCTGAAATAATTTGTAGAGAACATATAATATACTCTTGGTAGACAGGCATACCTTCTCATCTGCTCTCTTTTCCTTCCCTTGTATTGTCTTTAAAGTTACACACACACAAAAAATAAACTCACAGAAATACCAAATTGTTGCCAAATCTATGTTCTGCACTTTATTTGCCCCTTTTGATTATTGGTTCACTTAGGATATTTACACATGCTACTGCATACTGGTGCTTACAGACTCTTAAGTTGACTCAAGATCTGGCAGAAGAATGGTTCCGATTACCATAATAATTAATGCTAGTGGAGTTCATCAGCTAATACAGCAAAGAGTTCCTGCATCCTAAGTTAAGCTTAACTGGAGCTAGCTCAGATTTTCTGTGAAAATACTCAATTTAGTATTAAACTTCTTTCCTCAAGATACCCTTGTCTTTAATTTGTGTTGTATTTTTCTCTGTAATTTCTTTCCTCTATAGTTTTATTTCAATGTCTGCTACTCACATGGTGTCTTCTTGCAAAAACTGGTTAACTATTTCCTAATTAATTTGTTTCTAGTGAAAAACACTGATTTTTTTCAAAACTAAATGCCATTATGAATCTTGCAACTTGAAATCAAGCAACTTGAAAAACAAGTGGCCCATTGTGTTTCATCCTACTTCTGACTTGGTAATTTTGTTTGGACTTAATAAAATAAAAAAAAAAAGGACTCTTGTATTTCCCTGCTTGTTCACTCATTAAGCAAGTCTGCTTCTGATTTGGTGAATTAACCTTCTTAGAGATATTCTTCAAGTCAGCTCCTTGTGACTGGGTTGTGACTGTTGCTTGATGCTGTGCTTCTCTGCAATGTGAGATCACTGAAGACTGAACGTTCAAAAGAAATAGGAAGCAGCAGCTTTGGGCAAGTATTCCCTAAATAAAGCAGGACAACCATTAATTCGCTTTAACAGATAAAAAATATGGGATTGAAAATAGAAATTATTTCTATCTCAAAATCAAAACCAATCTCTTCATGACCAATCTGCTAGGTTAAGCAGCAAATCTGCTGTCTTGCTCCCAAATGTGGCAGCTACGTTATATGGATCTAGCACTACAGTGTTAGCCTGTTGGCAAGCAATGTTCCTGCATATACAACCGCAGAGAT